GGGTCAAAATCCTGGAATTCCCTCCCTCAGGGCATTGTGGGTTAACCCACAGCAGGAGGACTGCAGCGGTTTAAGAAGGCAGCACACCACCACCTTCTCAAAGGGCAACTAGTGGCAGCCAATAAATGCTGCTTCACCCAGCCAGTGATGCTCACATCTCTCAAATGAATAAATTTTAAAAAAACTCTGTATCTAACCCCATGCTGTCCAGGGACAGTGTAGACAGACCCTTACTCTGTATCTAACCCTATGCTGTCCCTGTCCTGGGAGTGTTTGATGGAGACGGTGTAGAGAGAGCTTTACTCTGTATCTAACCCCGTGCTGTCCCTATCCTGGGAGTGTTTGACGGTGACGGTGTAGAGAAAGCTTTACTCTGTTTCTAACCCCGTGCTGTCTCTGTTCTGGGAGTGTTTGATGGAGACGGTGTAGAGAGAGCTTTACTTTGTATCTAACCCCGTGCTGTCTCCGTCCTGGGAGTGTTTGATGGAGACGGTGTAGAGGAATGACAGTCACTGCCTTTATCTTAAATGACCACAGGCCATGCATTTACTGTTTAAATTTGATTTGAATGCCATTCACAGAGACTGGTTTATTAAACATAATGAAATTATTGTCTCAAAGAGAGAGAGGTTTGAAACAGCTGACAGGGAAATCTGAAGTTTGGGACAGTGTGGACGTCAGTAATGCTGAGCCCAGACTTTAGGAGAATTTCTGGAGGAGGCTGAAGGCTGGAGCAGTGCCAAACAGTGGCTAATTCAAGTTGCAGTTGGAGATGCTGCTGTGCTCAGCTGGATGTGTTAGGCCTGAAGAGTGGTTGACTGAATCCAAGAAGGCAGGACGTAGCAGTGATAATAATGACAGGCTGTGTTTACTTCGTAAGGATTGGGAATGAAAAGTACACACAGATATTGAGAGTCAAAGACAGATTAGAATTCTAGTGAAAGAGAAAATGCAAAGAGCTGCTCATAAAGGAAAATACCTCGGCCATTCTGCCCCTCGATCCTATTCCAATGTGATCAAGGCTGATGTGGACCCTACTGTCATCAATTTGGACAGGCACTAAATGCTCTGCTTCTCTGGAAGTTCATTCCACACATGAACCACTCTCTGTGTAAAAACAAAACTGCCCCTCATTTGTCTTTTTAAATCCTTCTTCTCTCAAAATAAAAATATGCCCTCTAATTTTGAACTCTCGTACACTAGGGAAAAGACCATTGCTATTCATGCCCTCAAACCTCTTTATGGTCATCCCTCAACCTCCTACTCTCTAGAGAGAGTAAAAAAACAAAATTACAATTTAAAACTACGGGGATGCCACCTAGCTCTTTGTTGCACTCCCTCCTCGCTCAGGTAAGGAGATTGAAACTGCACACAATATTCTAGATGTGGTCTCACCAAGGCCATTCACAACTGCAGCAACGCACCCCTGCTCCTGTACTTGAATCTTTTCACTACGAAGATCAATGCATTATTTACCCTCTTCACTGCCTGTTGCACCTGCACGTTTAATTTCAGCGCCTGGTGTGTAAGGACACCCAGGTCTCATTGCACGCTCTCAATTTATAGCCATTCAGATAATAATCTTCCTTCCTGTTTCTCCTCTCAAACTGGATAACCTAACATTTATCCAGATTGTATGTCATCTGTCCATAAATTTGCCCACTCTCTTATTTATTAATGGGGTGTCAGCATTGCTGCCTCCTTGAACTGTAGTAATAGTAACGCCATTGAATGTCGAAGGGTGATGGTTAGATTGTCTCTTGTTGGGGGGGTGGTCATTGTCTTGCATTTGTGTGTTGCGAATGTCACTTGCCACTTTCCCACCCCAAACCTGGATATTGTCCAGATCTTGTTGCATTTGAAGATGGACTGCTTCAGTATCTGAGGAGTCACAAATGGTGCTGAACATTGTGCAATCATCGGCGAACATCCCCACTTCTGATCTTATGATGGAGGGAAGGTCATTGATGCAGCGGCCAAAGGGCCAAGGACACTACCCTGAGGAACTCCGCAGAGATGTCCTGGAGCCAAGATGACTGACCTCCAACAACCTTGACCAACTTCCTATGTGTCAGGTATGACTCCAAGCAGTAGAGATTATTCCTCTTGATTCCCATTTAATCTAATTTCGCTTGGGCTGTTTGAAGCCAGTCTCAACTCACCTCTGGAATTCAGCTCTTTTGTCCATGTTTGAACCAAGGCTGTAATGAGGTCAGGAGCTGAGTGGCCCTGGCGGAACCCGAACTGGGCGTCACTGAGCAGGTTATTGCTGAGCAGGCAGCAAAGCTGATGACACCTTCCATCACTTTGCTGATGATCAAGAGTGGACAGATGTGGTGGTAATTAGCTGGGCTGGGTTTGTCCTGCCTTTTATGTACAGCAATAACATGGGCAATTTTCCATATTGTTGGGTAGATGTCTGTGTTGTAACTGTAGGTGAACAGTGGAAAATAGAAATTTATGGAATTTTAGCTTTATTGATAGAGACACAGAATAAGAAAAGCATGGGAGGTATGCTAAAACCTTACAAGACATTCATGCGTCCTCAGCTGGAGCCCTGTATCTCGATCTTGGCATCGGACTTTAGGCTGAGTGTCAAGTCCTTGAGAAGATGAAGAGACGATGAGATCGAAGAGTTGCAGGGCTGAGGATGTTGGTTATGTGGATGGACTGGAGAAGCTGGGGTTGGTTCCCTCAGTGACAAGGAGGAGCTTGGGTTGAAGTTGTTTATCATTGACAACACGGATGAGGGGAAAAAATTTCCTGTTGCAGAAGATGCAGCCACAGATATAAGGTAATTGGCAAAAGACCGAGAAACAACATTTTTTACCCACTGAGTCACTGGGATCTGGAACGCACTGCCTGAGAGGGAACAGGAAGTAGATTCAATTGTAACTTTCCAAAAAAGAAAAGGACGCCATGTGGAAAAAGAAGGTAGGAACTACCAAGAGCCAGCACAGCTCGGATTGGCTGAATGGTCTCCCTCTGTGCTGCGTCATTTCCTTACTCTCCAAAGAAAAGAGAAATGAAGTCTCTCAGTACCATCTGTTTCATCTTCCCTGCCTGGGGCCTTATTAATCAGCAGTCTTGCTTCATGCAACACGATGGCTCAGTGGTTAGCACTGCTGCGTTCCCAGTGCCAGGGACCCAGGTTCGATTCCACCCTCGGTTGACTTTGTTTGTGGAGTTTGCACTTTCTCCCCGTGTCTGCGTGGGTTTCCTCCCACAGTCTAAAGATGTGCAGGTTAAGTGGATTGGCCATGGGAAATGCAGGGATAGGGTAGGGGGTGGGATGCTCTTTGGAGGGTCAGTGTGGGCTGAATGGCCTACTTCCCTGCTGCAGGGATTCTATGAATCTTATCCTGAGAACTTGAGTGGTTGTAAGTTGCGTCTCCCCGGATATGTCCTTCCTCTCCAGTTAAGATCTTCCAGTGGTTTCACTCGGCATTTGGTTTGCTTCTGCTGGCACTTGCTCTCACCGACTGGGCCAGGCCTTGGTCCGTGTTCTGGCAGCCTCGGATTTTGCAGGCATTCCTGTTCCCTGACTCACACAGCAGCTGCTTCCTGTTCTTGCTGAATCACAGATTCCACAGTCGCAAATGGGAACCAGGTGGGGGGGGGTATCAATCCCAGTCACTGAACCCACCTCCCCTCCACTCCCACACCACCCCCAGCAACTCCAGCACCAGGCCGAGCCAGGCCCATTAAAGCCACAATGTCCCATTCAACATTTCGCTAAATCAATTGGACAGTACATCAAACTCCTTTACATTACAACTGAAGTGTGAAATTTAATTAGAAACTCTCACAAAATCAAACAACGTCACCTAAGGAAAGACCCAGAGAACACTTCAGGACGCCTACAATCCTCCTAATCCCTCCTCTTCAGCATCCTCATGGCTCCAACACTAGGAGTTGTGCCTTCAGTCACTAGCTCCTAAATATTGCAATTCCCTTCATGATCTTCTCTTATGTTCTAAACCTCTCCACCATCAGATGCTCCCCAAAAACTACCTCAGCTGAGTGAGTAATCCTTGAAATAACAACAGTCTAATAATATTCAATAGCATTTTGGTGGTACACTTAAGCTGTTTTACTGCAATAATGCACTTTAAAAAAAGTGCATCATTGGGACACATCATTGTCTCCATCTGTCTGTCATCTACACGTTGACAATATGCTGCATTACTATCAGTAACAATCAGTAACACAGGGTGCTGGGAAGACAGGGGTCACTGAGTGACAGTGTGAGGGAGCTGGATTAACAGCAGTACAGATACAGTCAGTAACACAGGGTGCTGGGAGAGGGGGGTTACTGAGTGACAGTGTGAGGGAGCTGGATTAACATCATGACAGATACAGTCAGTAACACAGAGCGCTGAGGGAGGGGGGTAACTGAGTGACAGTGTGAGGGAGCTGGATTAACATCAGTACAGATACAGTCAATAACACAGGGTGCTGAGGGAGGGGGGTTACTGAGTTACAGTGTGAGGGAGCTGGATTAACATCAGTACAGATACAGTCAGTAA